ATATATATATATATATATATATATATATATATATATATATATATATATATATATATATATATATATATATATATATATATATATATATATATGATCAGACATCTTCCTTGCAGTTGAGATCAGAGATCTTTCTCTGAAAGTGAATGTAAAAGAAAAAATGTTTTGATTCATAATCTGGCAAACTACAGCGGGAGATACCACCTAGAAATCTCCACATCGGATGCTGAAGCTCACAGTTTCTTTTGTTTGTATGTAGTTCAGAATCCATGTAGTAGGTGATTAATGGAGTAGTTTCTTTCTTTTCAAAGCAAATGTTTGTTGAAGTACTAAATCACGTTAATAACCTTAAAAAAGAACATTATGATGCTAAAAATATTAATGGTACTTTCGATATCGTATATTATTATATTTTTTTTAGCTCAACCAAACTAGTATTCACTGAAGATTAAAGGTGGCAACACAATAAATTGATTTCGACACCATACTTAATCTACCTTATCTTGGGTATGTAACAAGAACATGTAATACCACTCTTCTGATCCTCTTCATCGAACGTCATCATGGTTTAGGTTTCTCTCATCTTTCTTATTTATGTTTAAGTTACAGGGATGTCGTCATTTTATTAGCTCCTTTTATGAAGAATAATACCTGTGAAATGTGTTAAAACTGTTTTAACTGTTTTGTGTCTCTCAAAGATGCATGAATGTTACACACGTATAATCAGATTGTATTTGGATATACGAAACCACAAGCAACAACAAGCAAAGCAGAACATTTGAAGTTCATAGAAGAACGCAATGGAATACTCAATATGCTCATCAAAGCTAGACCGTAATAAGGTGAAATTTACATAATAATCAGATGAAAATTAGTCGGTAAGTTTCCTTCGGTAAACCATTGTTGCAGGGCCATTTGTTGCAATTTACATGTAATTAGATGAAATGTTATCGGACAAACAGTGAAATGCTTTACAGCAAAATGAGAAACTATCCAGCTAAAGCAAGAGGAAGAAAGGAATAGAAACTTGAGGGAAAGAAGCAAGGAGTCTTCGACTTCCTCTTAAATGCCTGGACTTTTTAACTTCAATGAAGGTTTTATGAATGCTGTTGCTGTGATTCATCGGCTGGAACCTTGCAACGACCGTAATTTAACACCATCACCAACTCCTTTGCTGAGGTTCCAATGGCTGCCGGAAGCTTCTGTGATGACCCCCCTCTTAGCCACTGTTCTACCAAGTTTTGCATAGACATAGTGGGGCTCACAGGTTGTCTGAGGCACATGATTTCCACCTGTAATCACAAAAGTTGTCAGTTTAGCAGAAGGGAAAACCATGGCATGATGTATGTTAGATAAAGAAGACAGACTAAATGGCTTCTATCATTGATCTTGTAATAAAATCCCATCGTTCCTTATTCCATATAGATGAGCTATAACTGCAGAAACTCAATTCACCAATACAAATAAAATCAGCAAACATTATCCTGGATGTTGTAACTTTGACGGTGTATATTTTAACAATTTTCCAGCATCAATTTCTTTGAGAAAGTATGACTGATGAAGATTTACTATCCAATCTCCTATAACATGTCATCCATCAATTTAAATGCTTCCTACTGATGGAAATTATGCATCACCTCACCCCTTCGGTATTTTTAAAGACCAAGAAAAACAGACAAGAAGGGGAGGATGAAGATGATAAGCAGACTCCAGTTCAGGAGCATCTGCACCTGGTGAAGATATTGTGATGGAATCCAATCCTTCTATTCAGGATAGTCTATACATGTTCAGGGAGAAGGGTAATGAACAAAAAATAAAAAGTAATAATCAACTCAAACTACTTAGACCAAGCTTCTTCCTGTGTAATCGTAGCAAATCAACTTTACTATGTAATCAAAAGCATATAATTGTTGTGATTTTCCATTATATGAAACAACTTTACTATGACTTGGCCTTATCAGAATCAATTCTGAAATGGAATGGCATTGTGAAGCCTACAAATGATTCTAAAAACAGAGAACACAATATGGTGAACTAAAAAGACAGATGTTCTGAGAAACTTCACATGCCTGAATTATAGACTTACAGCCGTTACTGCTACCACTAAAGAATGCCAAGAGATCAAACTAAACATAAAGTGAATGCATGTTCTGAGAAGCTTACATGCTTGGATTACAAGCTTATAATCATCAACATTATCATTTGGAGAAAGAACCATGGAAGTTTAAAGATGAGAGCAAAAGCATAAATTAGTAAAGGTGCTTGCTGAACATGAATGAACACAAATCCAATACAACATCTAAACTGTATAGTTTCAAGCATGCTGATGGACTTTGTAAGCATCAAACTACATTATGCAGAACTGTTGGCTTTTGGGCTATCTGAGTCTGCTTTTGAAATATTAACAGATAATATCAAACACTGAGCAGAGTGAAAGAGAAAGAGGAAAATGAAATTTACATTTTCTTCTTTTTCATGCATTTTATGTGTTTGGCTAGTACACGTAAGGAAAAAAAGGAAGTGAATGTCAGAATTAAGACTTTAGGCACTTAGTTTGAAATCAAATTCATTTTTGAAGCAGCTAATGCTGCAAAATCTGTGAGGGATCAACTGCTAAGAACTTCAAAAGTTGAAATTTCTCAAGTTGATCTCTCACAGATTTAGCAGAACATCATGAGTATGGTTGAAACTGCAGGAAAAGTTCCTCACTAAAAGCTATAACAGGATTCAGATTTTTGAAAAATAAAGGAAATGTTATCAAATCATTAGCTTCAGGTTCAAACCAACTTTTTCACTTTTGAAAAAAGGGCTCTAAACAACTTGGTCATATTCCTTTTGGCCAATACCCTGAACAATTCCTGGAATGCAAGTGCTGATTTTGTCCCAATGCTGTGTTCATGTTCCTCTTGTAAGAAACATTAAAAAACACACTGAATAATGTAATTTAGCACATCAGGCAATAGTGGTCCTAGAATACCCAATAAGGCATCAAATATATTATTAATATAAAGTGACCTATTATGACAGAGCAATCAAGGTAGAAAAACAGGAAATATGTAACTGGAAGAACCTCATCTTGAAACAAAGCTTCAAGGAAGCCCAAGGTAATCCTTTTCATTTTTTCTGTTCATCAGTAAGAGAGTGCAGTAATGAAAATTTTGGTAGAAGTTGGGTGTGTCAATGATCTTCTAGCTTTAGCAAGCCACCAATTTGACTGCTGATGACATTTCTCAAAGGTTGAACTATGAGTAAGCTGATAAACTTGGGGAAAAAAGAAGATAATTTATAAGAGAAGTATGGTGATGCCATCCCTAACTTAATATTGTATCAGCTACTTATCAAATACAAGGCCATATCATGATGTAGAAGGTGTTCTTCCATTGGCCTTTCAATTTTGTTTAAGTATCTAACAATATCTACAGTTTTCAACAACTTATCAGAGGTAGAGGATGATGAAAGCATGTACAGATACATATTCATCAAGTTTAATGCATGTAAGCCACTATATCATTTCATTGAGATTAGCCTGTTGGATTAAACTACTTTATAGAAAATGGTCCATTATCGCATAAGCAATGCTTCCACCTATCAACTTATGATATTGAGTTCTATGGAACAAAGTAAAACGAAATCGTGTTTTGGAATTTCGTGGGATCTGAACTAACCTCAGCTTCCTTTTCAAGATTAAGCTTCCTCATAAGGTACTTTTGGACGAAGGACACAGGCATGCTACCATCTCTAAGAAAAAAAGAGAAACAAAATACTTAATATATTAAACACATAAAAATATAGTAAACGGAAATATATAACAGAAAATGCTTAATTATGTTTGTAATAATGTGAAACTTAACTTCAGTCAATCTATCTGTACCAGTTATAGTTGATATTTCAGACAATGCTAAACTTAACAATGTTCAACTATTCATTGCTCAAGCCCAACTTTTTGGCAATGCTATTTATCTTGGGAAATCAAATGACATAATATAAGAACTGTTTTTGACCTTAGTACCATCCTTGCTTTTTTTTATAGCAGTGACTGTTTGCAATGCTATAGCTGCAGCGAAAATAGTAGCATTTTTGTTATTCTTAGTTCATATGATCAGCTAGAAATAATTTTCATGTAGCCTCCACATCCTTCAGCATGTAGCATCATATGTATTGGTATACGATGCTGTGCCAAGGTAGGCATGTTTTCTGTAAAAATCAGACATTACATGAAAATAAATGAGAAAATAGAACCATTTCAGCATGGAGGATGTATAACATTTAGATTGAGATGAATGACAAATAAAATAAAAAGAACATTAAAAGGGCAAAATCTGACTCTATTCCTCATCTTTACCAAGTTCATAGATTCCCTTCTGCTCTAAAATCCTTGTAATCCGTGGAGTCGTTTTATGATGATCATGTGTCTCAGGTTGCTCCTTGCAACACTGGCAACTATGGTACTTACTACTGTATTGTTACCTTCTTTTATTAATGTAATTTGACATCAACACCACATTGGTAACGTACACACACGGCACATTTTGGGATGATCAGCATGTGATATTGATGTGACATGGCATATATACATCATGTCACTTAACCATGTCTTGTTCATGCTGTCATGCTGAACTGACAGGTAGGACCATATTATGCAAAAGTTACTAGAGGCATTTGCATGAAGCAACTTACTTGACCCTCAAGTAACTTGCAGATATTTGTGGCAAGGGGGGTTCTCCTGTCCTGAAACAGTTGACATCAAAATAAAATAAGGAAGTTAATATTCATAAAATACATATGTGCAGATAACATAACTAAAATAACTTCCAAAAGAAATTTTTTTAACTGTTCAACAGCTGCAACCAAGGAGAACCATATTGGACCAATGCTCCTGACATGCTGAGTAATTCCAGCATCAAGGGGTGTTTGAGCTACTGCTGTAAGGTTTCTAGTCTGCTGGTTGATTCCTTGCAAACTTCCAGCTTTCAACATTTCTGGAGGCATAGGATTATTTTCGCTCTTCTGTTCCTGAACTTCAGATTTATGTGGACGCTCCTTAACCCTGATGCTGTTACCATCTACTTCACTAGCAGGGCCATTGGTTTGCTCTGCCTTAACAACAGGGCTGTGTTGACTGGACCTAAAAGACTTTGTCCTATTTGCAGCTTCAACCAGACAATTTAAAGGTTTCCAGATGTCAACTTTATCTTGAAAGGAGCCTTCACCATTCGATTTACCTTCAGTACGTGTATATTTGGATGGCTCAGCCTTTGAATAAACCTGAAAAGACTTCGCCAAAGCATGTAAAATGAATATTATCATACAAATGGAACTGAAGATATAGTCAAAACCTTATTACCAACTATATGCTGCTTAGATCACTGAACTAATAAGCCATGAAGAAACACAAAGATTCTGTTTTAGTACCTGCTTTCTCTTAAAAGTGGGCTTGCCTGGTCTCTCAGCCGAGCTTGATTTTTTTGCATGCTTTTCAACATTATAATCCTCCTTTTTAGTCATATCATCAATTACTGGACTCAGACCACGCAGTGTGGGAGCCCTTTTAGCAAAAGCCTTTGTTTGCCTTTTTGTTAGTCTTGTCTGTGTTGCTGTATGAATATCAACGACCAATGAAGAAAGTGATCTTTCTTTTCTTTTCACAGGCGGTGTCATGGGAGGCACTTCTTCAGGAGTTTTAACCTTGTTTCTTTTGGAAGGAAATATCTTTTGCCTAACATCTTGTAGGTTGTGATCAGGTCTGCAGAATATGTTAGATTAAATATGTACTTTGACAAAATCATATAGCAGCAAAAAATATACTTTTCCTTGTCGCATATAACTGAAAATAAGAAGTCGATATTCATGTCTCAAATTGAGTGAGGTTCAGAATCAGGTATCTAATGAATGCATGAATCCACAAATATTTTTCACAATAATCAGCATTAGATGGATGTCATAACCGACTTGACTACAAAGATGGAAGCCAACTATGAAGAGAAATAGAAACTTAGGTTTCAAGAATGAAAAATTATAGGAAAAAAAATTAAAACCTATCATATCCGAAGAAGAAAGGTGCTTTGAGGGTGCGAAAAAACTATATCCGAAGAAGAGGAACATTCATTAGTGGTTAAAAATCTGTTCTAGGAAGTAGGAACAATCTCACCATTGAAATAATAATGTTGAAAAATACAGAAACGAGAAAGCTTCTTAGAGCATTGACTAGATCTCTAGTATCTCATCATATCTTGATTATTGCCACAAGAAATTTTCTATGATCTGCCTAGAGAAATATTTCAAGCAAATGTTCATTCCTGCCCTAGTTCTTTTCTAGCCCTATTATTCTTGCAGTTCCTTTCTCATATCTTTAAGTCATCAACTTTTGCAACTCATTCTATAGGAGTTATAAAGATACAAGTATAATAAACCATCATCAATTTCAAGTGAGTCCTAGAAGATATTTTTTTGCAAAATCATAAGAACCCTCTATTTAGCAAAAAGAAAGTATCAAGTTTAGCTGATAGTAGAACAGAAAGTAGCCCAACCTAGCTTTAAATGCATGATTGATTTTGAAGTCTGTCTTCACACTGATGAACTTAGCTAAGCTTGTTTTACACAACTAAATCATGTCCTCTCTGGAAATAGCAGCAAAATGCAACCATCTTTTCAGCCCTAAGCAAATAGTGTTTGGTTCTCCTTTAAATGGCAGACGCTATATGGAGATCCAATGGGTCTTATGCTACTTAGTGTACCTTCTCTTAGTCTATGAATTAAATATTCATTAAGTTTCATAAGTTTAAATTGTTTGGGATTTTTTTCTCTATTGGTTTATAAGTTTGTTTCTAGACATTATGCCTAAAATGGTAAAAACCATGTCACAGTTTGAGTCTGTTCATACATGAAATGAGAATAATGGTTATTATCTTGTTGCTTGTTTGTGCCTATGATATTGACATTGCTCCCTTTGACAAATCTTGGAAATTCCCTAGGCTATTCCCAGGCTTAGAGGAGATCTACTTCAATGAATTAATAAGACAAACAATTAGATAGAGCTTTCTACCAGCTAACTAGCCATTAGGCTTCTAGGTAGACAATTTTGTTGGAGTAAGCACTTAAGAACCAAAGTTGGGTGATCAGTCAGTCAGGAATTTTTTAAACCTTCCATGAAGCATTCTTGATATTAAGTTGTGCTCCATCTACAACATGCCACTCCGAAAAGGCTTGGATCATGATTATGATGACGCTGAAACATTGTATATGCATCTGTAAATCAACTTTTAAGGAAGCATCCATCAACAGATTGTAGTCTCTTATGTACCATACAATAACAGTTGTTTATAATCAAATTTATAATTTATGTACCATACAACAAAGAGTACATGTATCAGGTCTTGCTGTCTCTTATGCCAAAGCCAAAGTGCAGCAGATTCTTGATTAAACATTTACAATTAGCTCCAATATATAACAAATACCTTCAACTTCTTAGCATTCTCCAGTATTCAGTTATTAGCCTGTTACTACTGACATCATAAATAATCTATCACCAATTTATTCTCTAGATATGCTTGCTTTAAATGACAAACAAAAATCTCACAAATTAGCATATTGCAAATGAAGGTGTATGATACATAATGATGTCAAATCTTCAACATGAAGAGGGATATGGTACTATTTGAAAACTCATTATATGCAGGCTTAACCCTACATCTGAAAAGCCTATTCCATGTCTCAAACACCAATGGAGAATCCTTGCTGTTGCATTAAGGGTTGCCATCCTTTGAAGCATCTCCAATCTACCAATCCCAAAGATGATAGATGAATGAATAGAATAGCTAGAGCAATCCTATACAAAATGTTAGTATTAGCTGTAAACTTTGGATTGAGTGGAATGTGTGGAGTTATCAAGAAAGAAAAATATATATTTTTTCATTTGTGAAAAATTAAGTGTAACTCCAATGGAGAATAAAATGAGGGAGAATCGCTAATATTAATTAGTATTAGTCATGTGCTAAGGAGATTTACCGATGACAAGAAGGTTTATAGATGTTGTAGTTAAAATAAGTAAAACAATTAGTATTACTCATGTGATGAGAGCTAGAGATAGAGGATGATCTAAGAAAATTTTACTCGAAACTAATAAGAATTTAAATGCTCTTAATTTAACCAAGGAAATTGCTTTGTAATGACAAAAGATGCATGCAGTCAATCTCAAATAATTAAGACAAATGAGCTGCTAGTTCTGCCATCAGTTTCATCTAGTCCAACACTTTGACTAACATACTAATTCATGCCTTTTCTTCCTACTTTTACTGCACATTTTCTCTATATTTTAGCTGTTCCATGCTCTTGCTTTGTTTCCTTTAGCATTCTAAATGTCGTACATCAAGAAAAACAAAGAGTTTCCAACCTTAATTTTATTCAAGTACCTAAAATATGAATTAAATATTTGAACCAATGTATACAATTTCGAATAATACCGCCCGGTACGGGCAGTATGTACCAGTCCGTCAGCTTACCGGTACACGGACCGGTCGTTACCGGATGGAACGAAATATATATATTAATTTATTTATTTATTTATATATAAATATTTATATATAAATATATATAATCTTATATATAAATGTATATATATATATAAACGAGACGATGTCGCCTTTTATAAAAATATTTTATATATAAATAT